CTGGCAAAGTTCCCCATCACCATATCCACTTGAAAAAAGAACAAAGCAGGTGAAGTACGACAAGCAAGCATGCCGATCAGTGGACTGTCTGCATTTTCATTGGCTATGAAAAAGTTGCAGACGAAACAGGGGTCATGTACGTTGAGCATAGAGGGGTGTAGGCTTGTTTCGTTGCAAGCCAACTGAGAGTGGCGAAGTTACCAGAGTCTACTCTAAAAGATATTTTGGTATCATTACGTGGCCAATGACTGTTCTTAAATAAGATTAAGAAATACTTGAACTTGAAAACAAACCCCAATTGGAAAGTGAATTTGAGTTAAGGAAGTAAGGGGTGGGGGCTGCCTCCCCTGATTTCTGGAAAACCATTGTTTCTTTTAAGACAGTTTAAGTGCCAATATTTGTGTTTGGAAGGCAAAAATAAATCATACTGCACCTTAAATAATGCGATTTTAATAATTTAAAAACATTATTTTGGTCTTCTCTTTGTTATTTGATTAAATTACCAGACTATTAACACTTTCACTATTTTTTTATATTGTGAATGCAAAAAGAGGCATTCATCAAGTAGCCTTCTCACTGTACTGTTTCAAAGAAAGTTCAATAACAATATATGCTTTGAAATATTTGGGTGAGGTAAGGCTGTGTTTGGAAAGGCAGACACTCATAGTCTCCCTCTACTTTTCTGTTTCTCATGTCACTGCTCACTTTCAAGCACACCAGCCCCTTGTTGATTGGCACAGCTAGAAGAAGGTAATGCAGCAATGGAATTGTTATGGGCTGCTAGTGACCTCTTATGATGGTTAAAGAAATGGAATTGGAAGCATGCATACACACTTACCAAAAGTCTTGCTGCATTCTCCGCTAAAGTTTGTCAAGTCTATTTTGATTGATTCAGGTGTCTGCTCCTCTTGCATGGTAAGAAAAAATCTCAAATTTCAACAAAAAGTACAAAGAAGTGGTAACATAGAAGCTAACCTCTTAACCTATAAGTTACTGATGTCTTTCATTGTCCACAATCCTTGTTTAATGTTAGTATAATATAAAGACCAGCTTTTTTCATCTCCTGATGACTGGATTTAAATTCCTCTTCTCAGGAAAGCCGTACACCACTCACAGAGGAAGATGAAGCACTGCAGAGGGATCCCCTTACAGATTTGAAGTCCTTCCATGCCTCTTGTGAATTCCTCAAGTGTGCTATCAAGGATATGAAAGATATGAAAAAGTCATCAAATGATGTGAGTATTGACTGCATGTTTTCATTTCCCCATTGGTTGCAGAATCAGTTTTATACGCATATAATGACTTATTAACTATATATCCAGTACAGTTTTTTTCTATGCATATATGTGGTTAATTTTAACACATTTTCCCTTTTCCATTTTCATTTCATTATTGCTCAGCAGTTTTATTAAAATCTAAATCTCTTCTTTGAAATTTAATAGGAGGAGAATAAACTTTCAGTGATGAGTTCCACAAGTTAGATCTTCCTCTATTGCTGATTGAAGAGTTTGGGATAACAGGGAAAACTGTCATTCATTAGACTTTTTCATATATTAAATTAATTAAGAGTCTGATGATAAATGTAAAGGGTTTAGAGGTCAAATGTATAGCTTGCATCATCTGTATTTTGTTGTCAGTGAATTTAAGTCTTTATTTGACTGGTTCATTATCCTTAATTAATTTTATTTTTGATTGCTTATTGTTCTGATATGTAGAAAGTTTATTTTTTCTGTGCCTGAAAAGTTTGGTAAAGTTTTTATCGTAGAATACTCTACTTTGTTCTGACAGACTTCAGCAGAGATCAGTGGCCTCCAAACTGATGTGACCGTTCACTTCGTGCACATGAAAAAGTTGAATAGACTTGCCCATTTTCGATGTCGCAAAGTGAGAGAGACAACAAATGAGGTATGGAAGTTCATATCTGTTTGGATATAATATATATCGAAGATATTGGGCATCAAAAGACTTGTCTATGAAAGCTTGATTAGTAGGAGAAAACCAGAAAGCTTTTTAATTTTAAATCATTTTTCTTCTGTTATTTCATAGAATTAATTGTTTTTATGCAAATTTTTGCTGTCTTGGTTGACCATGCACCTGTTCTTGGTACAGTCTCATGTGGTCTATGATTTTTATGTATTTGAGCTTCACAGTTAGGCTCTTTGGGTTAAACACCTCGTGTTACGTACTTTTTCTTTTCTCAGATTTATGGGGAATGAAGTCTTCTCAACTTAGCAAAGATTAGATGCTCACTCTCTATTTTGCCCAAGCAGTTGAGTTGGTTGGGGGGGGGGCAAAAAATAACACCTGTCGTGGTACTGCGTGTCATAAGAGGTCTAGTCTCCCGAAAAATGCCAGTGTTGAGACTTTATAAAGCTGCAGAAACACTATCAAACACACATTATTTTCGATCTTGGGGGACAGAGGAGCTTCTGCACCAGCAGGATCGATGGACAGTGGTATAGAGAATAGCGTACAGAAAAATGGGAAACATGTAATATATATCAAGAGACGAGCCGAGGATAGGGAAAGACAGAAAGTGTTCATTCATAGCCTGTACCCTAGTGCAGGGTGAGAAAGGTTGTGATGGGGATGCCCCAAAATTTAACGTCTTTCGTGTTAGATAACCGAGTGATGGAGATGTAAGTGTTGACCTTGAGTATGGTACTTACTTTTTTTTTTCCATTATTTTGATGGTATACGTCTTGTCTTTTTCACTGTTTCATCTGGACTTATTGTTCTGTTATCTGGCTCGATACCAATATTGGTTTTTTTTGTTTATGTTTCAAAGTAACTTCATTTACCTTGTCAAGAAGTAGTGGTCTAATATTTATAGAATTACAGAATGGTATAAGATAGAAGATTGGCCATGAGGAAATAATTTGATTGAATATATTTTGAGCTCTCAAATTTGTGATCAGGCCAAGCACAAAATTGACCAGTGTCATCTCCAGCTGCAAAATCTACTCTATGAAGCCATGCATCTCCAGAAAGAAATAACTAAGTGCATGGAATTTAAGTAAGTACAATACTATTGTATCTGTGAATTGTCTTGTGTCCAGTGACCTCTGTGCTTTATGATCTACCATGAGTATGTACTTCTGCTTACATTTCCCTGTCTGTCTGTCTGTCCGTTTGTCTCTCCCCCCCCCTCTCTCTCTCTCTCTCTCTCTCTCTCTCTCTCTCTCTCTCTCTCTCTCTCTCTCTCTCTCTCTCTCTCTCCCTCTCTCTTTATAAGATATTTAGGCCTGCTACATGGTAGACACGGTGTTTAGCCAGGTATTGGTGCATTTTGTAAATCTAATCACAGATTCACATTCAGTAATTTTTTTTAAATAGAAAGAAATCTTTGCGTTTTAGAGATAGTAGTATTTACAAACAGGTCTAATTATAGGCAACTGGTTACTAAATCCAGTGCTACTATGTGTCCCTGAGGATCCGAAACTGTGCTTGGTGAAGCACGAACTAACCCTGTGGTGTATGGCTCTTTTCGTCTATGCAGACGTTCAATTTAGCTTAAGATGGTCTCAAGGTTGTCTTCATGCAGCCTATCTCATAGCTAATCCTTCCTATGTTTGAAGCGCAGATTCTGTCGCAGTTCTTGAATGTCAGTGACTTAGATCGAAGCTCTGTATTTCCGCTGTTTTCCTTTCGTCGTTGGTGCTTCTCAGCCTGGTTGTTTCTAAGGCTGCTCTCTTGCATTATAGTTCTTTCCTTTATCATTTTCCCTATGTTTTCTTGTCCTCGGCTATTTCTTCACAGATGCTAACATCTACTCCAAGCTTAGATAAGCTGTTTTTGCAGGTGTCTTTGTACCTCAGTTTTGCTCTTCCTCTTGATCTCTTTCCCTGGGCAAGTTCTCCACAGAGAAGTTGCTTCGGAATCCGGTTGTCATCCATTCTCTTGACATGGCCCAGCCATCTCAATCTTTTTAAAAACAGGATAGTTGTCATGCTCTGGAGGTTTGCCCGTGCAAACACTTCTACATTTGTAACCTTGTCACGTCACAAAATGTCTAAGATCTTGCTGCAGCATCTGAGACGGAAAATGTCGAGGACCCTGTGGTAAGAAGGGGTAAGACAACATTCTCTCACACTTGATCTCTGTCCATCAGATCGGACAATCATCCTGTCCACCCACCATATGGACGAGGCGGATGTTCTCGGGGATCGGATCGCGATCATCCAACATGGGAAGCTCCGCACAGTCGGGTCCAGTCTGTTTCTCAAGGGCAGGTTCGGCAGCGGCTACTACCTCACGCTGGTCAGACAGGA